ATATATATATATATATATATATATATATATTCGTATACGTCTATATATATATATATATATATATAGACAAGGTCCTTGATACATATATATATATATATATAGGCCTTGATTGAATGTCGAACTATTTCCAAAAACCCTAGAGGAGGAAAGACGGCATCTGAAAAATCCGAAACTTCGAAGTCGGGAAAAACATACCCAGCTGCTCATCGTCTTCTGCACTATGTACATTCTCCCGGTTTGCAAAAGAGGGGATGTGCGTGAAGAGACTACAGGAAGAGGGAACAGAAAAGGCGATTAATGAAACGCCACGACCCCGTAACAACACGCTGAACCGCGCGAAAACCAGTAGAAATGATAGCCTCCTAGTCATGCTCACTTCGAGGTATATATGCTGTTTTTAAAGTTTATGACTTGCCAGAGCTGCTGAACTGGGGTTGTATGCTGGGTCTGATGAATGAAGCTTAGGGCAGGAGATACAACCTCATTAACGACACCAAAAGATGGAAAGCTGTGAGGATTAAATGCGTACTCGATTCAGAAACAAGCCTATCATGATGAGGGACGTTTGTGCTGAATAGCTTCACCACAATGCAGTCTTATGCAGTCTATGGATGACTCATTGGGGGCGAACATGCATCCACAGCAATACCAGCGGCATCAGCTGCAGCAACCGCTGCAGCAGCAGCACTACCACCAGTCCTCAATGCAAACGAGCAGCAGGAGCCGCTCCCTAGTAATTACATATCTACTAGCATATGGGTCGACGCTTGATGCGCAGATAGGTCTTGAAGGATCGTCTACACCGCCGCCGTGCACCAAGACAAGGCGTGGGTACGCCTTTATGGGGGATTGCTTTGCAGCATCTTGGAACTTGTGAGAAGCTGCCCCGTCTGACTACCAGCCCCAGGCCCTGCTGAAGCCGTCCTGGAAACTGGAAGGTGGGTCAGCAGTTTTTTTAAAAAGATGTTTTCTTCGAGGTTTTTGGCTCGATCGCAGCTTGTGACGGTTCTCTCTTACGATCGAGGTGCCACTGGAACGGTCTGAAGGTGCTATTGTGCTGTAGCATGGCAACTGGCTGAAACTTGAAATGCTCTCACAATAGCATCTTCTCTGTTCAAACCCTTTGAACCTGCAAAGCCTGATTGTTTGAATGCTGAATCGTTGCATAATTTTGGTACTCAGAGGAGCTTAAGCGCCTCCGGCGAATGCCAATGATCAGGTAGGCGCGTGTAGATTGACAAGATGCTGGCACCCCAGACCTTGCAAAATTCCTGGGATACTGGCTCGCATGCGACTCACAGTTTCATTTTTCAATATCCCACCCCTTATGACGGTTATGAAAGTAGAGCAGTATGCTCATACCTCCTGGAAAAGCGCCGACTTTAATTGCTGGTACCCCGAGCAGCGGTTTAAGGGCAGACGGGTGCAAGCGACTGTGATTGCAAGTACCTCGTTTCTGTCCGATTATTGCTGCCCAGTCCCAGTGTAGCGTGTGACAATGCTGGTAGATGAGGGGGGGCGGGGGGGCAGCCTCGCTATTGTGAGCAGAAAGGCACGGGAACTCGTATTTCGGGGATATTTAATATACGGAGGAGTTAGGCGTCATGTGTGGAAAATCCTCGCAAACGCTTGCTGGCAAAACTGCTGCAGATCTAGCAGGGTCATTGTAGATCAGCGCTTACGTATGGAGCATCCACGCTTCATCTTTAACCCCCTCAACACCATGTCGGTGGACTTGAAAAGCCAGCTTATTGCGTATAACATGACTGATATTTTACCAGTTACCAAGCAAGGTGGCTTTGGCGCCGCGCTCAATGCACGGAATAACGCCATGTGTTCACCAGAACATTATTCTTACGAGGTCACAATACCAAGTACTGAGTTCAAAAAAGATTCTGCTTCTGGATTAATAGCTGGAGAACCACTGCAGAAAACGCTTGGAGGTGAATTCTATGAAGAACAGTAGAGAAAGCGTCCACGTCAAAATAATATGGGTTGTTAGTCTGTGTCAAAAGAACCTTACCGCACTACAAAATCATTTCATGTAATACATGAAGTGATATATGTTAACGCACTCAAGGCGGTGTGCCGATAGGGGAAAAGGGGAAATCGACTAAAGGGACGAAACAGCTCCAGCGCGTTGAAGAGTCCTGTGCACGAACAACTCTTGAAGTCAAACGAATAAAGGAGAAACAATAGGGCATTTGCCTTCAGTGTTGAGTGGGACTTTAGGTTTCAGAACTACAACAAAAGGATACTCGCCTGCGGCCAAGTGTTTCTACCATGTTGTTCTTTCTTTTCAACTGAGAGAATTTCCTTTGAAGCTTTACATTTCCACAGCTTAAGTAACTTGCTGCCATTGGTTCAAATTTGACCCTCTTGGGTGATGTTGAGTTTTATGTTCATGCAAAGAGTTCCAGAACAGCAACCGCAATGCTCTTCAAACATTATGTATGCCTGCACCTTTCCCTCATATAGTTCGCAGCTCGTACACCAATGCTGCTGCCTCTCAGACTGATTTCTAAATGAACCACCCTGTTTACATCATTGATCACCTCAGCAGAAGGCCTCCCGGGACGTTCATCCTCCGTGCAACGACCCACAAAAGATCACTTGCAGCGGCAACCTGTTTGGAGTTTTATCTGTTGAAACCTGCAACAGGGCTTGTCTTCTATTTTCCCAACTGTCAGTCGGCCTTCAACTACTCCTGGTTCATATATCGGCATACATCCCCAAACGGCAAAAAGGCCAGCGTTAGAACCGTCCCAGAAGGTGCAGTTTACTGACGTAGAAGGCCGAATAAAAAGCAATAACTGTTCCGACAAAGAGGCCCGTTAGTACATCTGTTGGATGATGGAAGAAATCCATAACACGGGAAAGGGCAATGAACAGGCACAGAATGAGAAGAACAGCCTGCATGAAAGGACGCAAGGCAGTTGCTGCATCCCAGGCCCACTTGGCCTTACTGTTGCTCCTCTGCCTCTGCCTTAAAGAAGAGATGAGGGGTCCACAGTAGGAAGTTGAGAGGCGGTACTGGAGATATATGAGAGTGTAGATCATGGCACAGCTAGAGTTGCTGCTGTGAGCAGAGAAGAAGCTGAGGCGAGCTTCCTTAATCGCTGCCAGGTCTGTCCCGCGGCACTCATACGAGTTAATGTACAGGTCACCTGTCATGTCTGTACACTGCAACGCATTCCAGTTGGGTTGACACACGGCAAGGAAGTGAGGCCTCAGTCTGCCTATGCACAGCTTAGCAACGTTTGCCAAAGCAAAGTTCACGAGAAGCCCAAATGCAAATCCTCCCACCACAAGATACATATCAATGAGCATTTTCGGCACAGAGAAGCACATTAACTGTGTAGAGGTCAGGCTGCTCCTATCGATGACAAATGCGTGCAAAAGCTCCACAGCGACGAAGATGATGACGGGAACTCCAATAACGATTATTGTCGCTAAATTAGCAGGAACGGTCTCCTCCTTCAGGGGATACCGGATGCTTGTATCATTGCAGAAGAACCCTTTGACAGGAGGATCAGCCACGATTCCCCAAATGACAAAAGCCCCCATGCAGGCAGCGCAGAAGAGATGCACATACAGGCGGATCGTTGTGCTCTCCGGCGAGCCGAAGCGCGAGCCTTCATCTTCCCAAAGGGAACGCCGCCCAGAGGTCCCTGGGGCTTCAGCACCCCCTACCGTCTCAAACTGCATTCTTTAGACTTTTCGTCATGCATCCAAGCAAAAGAATGGGTTGCACCGATGCAGCTGCACTTGCAGTTTACAAACAAAGCGGTCAGATGCCCTTACGGTTGTCTTTTCCAACAGCAGACTGCCGGGAAGGAACGAGGATTAGCAAGACGTCCAGCGGAAGAAAATAGACTATTTCACCGCCGAAATGATGCTATGCAGATGATACGGAACGAAAATAAAGAGGGGATCGACAGTTCTCCACTTAATAGCTTCGGGCTGGCAAGAATAACCTATGCACTTGCTGAGGCTTTGGTCGGCGTCTCCCCACCCTATGCTCTCCGAACAATTGTCTGTTCGGCAGTAATAAAAAGCAGATCTTCAGTATGTAGTTAGGGGGTAGAAAAAGGTCAAAAGAGTAAGTATGCTCACGCAACAGTGAAGATAGTGCTCGCTCGTTCGGTCAATAGTTGCACAGGAACGCCAGGGTAAATCTCTTCCCCGTCAGAAAGGATGCGTGAGCTTTTCAGTTGACCTGATAATCGGAATAGCCACTGAAGGGGAAGAACGGGAGGAGGCAAACACGCCGGGGGTGAACGCGGAAGTCGTTCGCTAGCTGTCCAGAGCTATGTCAGGGGCCTCCCGGCGGAGCTGGATAACCTGGCTTTGAAATAAATTCTCCAAAGCCCCGCAAGAAAAAACAAGAAGGAATTTCAATGAAATGCTTTTTGCATAGAGACCGTACAATTCAGAAGAACGCCATTTTTCTCCTTCGCGAGCAGAGTGCATGCAGCCCCACCAGAACTAGGGATTTACTTTCTTTGCATCATTCCCTGCCATGATCTTTTATTAAAACCTTTTTTTGACTTGGTCTAAATATTTGTGTTCTTCTTGCTTTGAATAGGGAGCAACTTACGGGAAGGAAAGTGAGGCACAACTGCTCCGGTGATCGGGGATGATCACCGCAAAGCTGGCGAGCAGCTGCTGGGCACGAAGGAGAGGGGGTACGAATCAAATAAATGAATAATTTTCCTGCATAACTAAAACGATGCTTCCTCGGCTACTCCAGTGACCCATCCAGTGTGCCATTTACCTGGGATTTATCCCCAATTTCCAGTGCTACAGTTAGCCTATACCTTACGTGGCGGCTTCACTACCACGTACGTGCATTGTGGGACTCGGATAGTGTAAATCTCCCTGTACTTGAATAGACAGTGTTTTTATAAGCGGTTCATGCTTATCAGTGGCGTGTTGAGCATTACGACCAGGAAAGCCTTAAGTTTTCAGGTCTTGAGAAACCCTATGCAGTGTTTAGGTTTAGGCACGCAGAGCGCGATGCAAGAAAGCACAGTAACACAGATTATTCAGACTAGCTTCTTAATATCACTTGCGTATATGTAAACATCATGGTGGCTTCGGCAGTTCAGCGTTGTGAATTGTGCGGCAGCACTCGATCAAGCAACAGAGCAGTGGAGTGCATAGAGCACAAAGAAACGTAGGCCATCCAGTTGGTTGCCAGAAGCACTAGGCTGCGGAGAGCAGAGTAATAGTCCACTGCGAAAATGGCCTTGCAAAGTGCATCTAGATAGCGCACCCGTGTCCTGCAAGAGGGTGACAAAGCGAGTTAAGTAACAGCAGTAAAGAAGACTTCTAGACTTAATGTACAATTGTGTTACAAGCTCATAGCATCTTTCGTACGGCGAATAATGAGTTATGCTGTATATCTGATACAAAAGCAGAAAAGCATGAGACGGTCTTTCGAGGACAGGCGCCGGCTGGCTAGCTCCTCCTCAACCCCTCTGCTATACCCAGCGGACACCGCTTCGGAAGTTAAGCCTCAGAATGTGCTCTATGCGGTTTGACTACAAGCTAAAACGAGTGCGCATTAACTATTGTTTAAATATAGGGGAAAACAAGAGCAGAGAAGACTCAAGGAAGAAACTGAACGCACAAGAGCTGTTGCAAACAGCAAAGACGCGTGCCATGAAGACCGCAACAGGCACAAACCATGAACTCTAAACTTAATACCCGTATACACGTTTAGACAGCTTGTTCTCAAAGCACCGAGCAACTGCAACGTGGAGAGGTTTGGGTATTGCTTCTCTGGAGGTGCTTCCGTAGTTGTACTTCACGCCACCCAATGCGTGTGAAGGTACGCGAATTACGGTAGATCTGGGCAGGTGCAATATGTGTGCCTGGCCCCAAACGAAGCTGTTTCGCAGTCTCGAGTAGTCTCGACTTTTATATGCTTCTCTAGATATGAGCGTGCAGAACAGGCGCAACGTACGACAGAAGAGTCGAGTTAGAACGGGCAAGAACTATAATGCCTGACTCGCACTGTTTTCGCCCATGCTTATAATTATCTTTGCTTTTAGATCATTTAATTTGACTTCATATAGCACTTCTATACTATAGCGAGCAACTATGAGGGCACGCGTTCCCACTGTAGATAAGTAAAACAAAGTGAATTCAGACGTGTCAGCGAAGCATTACGCGAAGGCGAACGCAGCTTTCGTTCTGCTTCACGCCAAAGTTTCCAAAACAAAATTACATCGGAAGTCCAAACCTTCAAACCGGCAAATGCGGCCCGCCTGCACGCCACCACTGGGAATGTGCGGGGCGTCAGACAGAACAACCAAATTATTCGGCATCTTCTTGCTTTCAAGTTTTTCTCGCTCCTTCCGCTGGTGTACAAACTTGTTATTCACAGCTTGGGTTGTCGAGGTAACTCGCTCTACCCATACTAACCGGAATGGGATGTCCTTAGTGTACAGGGTTCATCGTGTGTTTGTTGATCTGCAACGATTCAGCAACTTAAACAGCCGCCTAACATAGAGTTGCCGAGTGTGCACGTGCCCATTCATAAGCCGGAAACTGTGCATCTGTAGGGATGGTAAATAAATCCGCATAGCATTACGCTTATATGCATATAACCTTGAAGTTAATTCGTGCCCTATTTACCAACTGCCAAGGTATTTAACGTGCAATTACCCGCCACTCCGCCCGCCTTGTTTGTGCATTTAGGGCTGAGAAACGAGCATGTTGACTCCTTGCGGCAAGTATGTGACATTCTTTGACTTTGCCAACGCCTCGGCGATTTCCTTCGCAGCATCGAGGCGCCTCACTTCAATTAGGCCGCCTCCATGCTCCTTGATGGCTTTTGAAATGAGGGAAGCAGCTTCTGCCTCTCCTTCTGCCTTAACGATTGCTGCCTTTTTCTCTTGCTCCGTCATCGCAACCACAAACTTTATCCGTTCACTCTCCTGCTGCGCCACTTGCTTCTCTTCGATAGCCCGAGAGAACTCTTTTCCGTAGCTCAAATGTGTCTGAATACACGCGCCACGCATACACACCCAGTCACGCGCTCAAATAAACAGAACGCATCTGGTTGGGAGTCATGCACCCACAGGCGCAATGAGATCAGAACATCTAGGACTATGCGGTCAATTACATATGCCAACGTGTTGCGTAGCGAGCTTCCGAAGATTTTGTTGGAAAGTGTTTGCTACGTCACGCAGATAATGTGGTACGCATGAAGTACAGTCTGGTGCATAAAAAAAGCTGTCACAACTGTTCCCTCAAGCGTGGATACTCGCATCTCAACTAGTATTGGAAAATTGCTTTTGCATACGCATAAGCACAACGCGTAGACATACACAGGTGCTCGGACGCACGTAAACGTCCACACGCTACACGTGCCCATGTACGTCTGCATGCGTCTTTGCACATGCATGCCCATACACAATTGATGTACATCTAACTACAAACCGTACATGCAAGCACAACAATAATGTACACATACATAGATATATGATACACATTTAAATACACATGATGCCCCCGTCCCCGACCCCTGCGCCAGAATCATGCACACAATAATCCGCTTGCACATACTCATTCCCAATGCACATGAGTATGCATATTCACCCATAACGATGCACTGTACACGTACGCACGGAAAAAACAGACCAAAGGAGACACCAAATACAAGTACACACTAACAAGCGCAGACGAACCAGTGCACAGCCGTACGCTCCCCCTTGGCGGTGATAAAATACTAAAGCGGATAGAAGCACATCACAGAATGGAGTATACAGAAGAAGCCAGAAGGAGAAATACACAGAAGACACAGCCAAAGCAGACGAGGAACTCAGGAAAAGTTGAAAGAGAGGAAGACGGACACAGACAGAGACAGTGAGAGGGGGAGAGAGACAGAAAAGTGCGCCGGCACACAGCGCTGTCCCCTCTTCTAAGTCGGGTGTAAATTGCAAAATAAAACAGTAAAAACCACAGTTCTACAAATGACCTGGCATGCAATTGTCACTACACGCTGATGCAGCCAGAACGCCAGCATCAACCACAAACCCGAAAAGACAGCTGCACCAGGCAAGGCAGCATCAGCGGTAGCAGGTAGGGAGTGTGAATATGTGTATCTTACAATGGCGACATCATCGAGTTCAATATCGAAGTTTTTGGCTCTCTGTGTAATGTGCTCCCGAATATCCTGCGAAACCCGATCCCTCTGCGTCAAGAGGCTCTCGGCGTCGTACCTAGCAACGACTGCTTTCAGCACTTCATTGCCAATAGAAGGCAGCACCCTCTCTGCAAAATCGGGGCCAAGGGTTTGGTGCAGAACGGGAAGGCGGCTTTCGTTAGGACGGTACAGCAGACGGAGGGAAAGCGATACCATTTGCAAGTCTCGAGTGCCAGTGGTCGTTGTGATCACTTTCGGCTGAGTCCGGATGTCGTAGATGTACGGCACTTGCAGCCACGGCACAAAAAAATGCAAACCCTCCCCAACGGGTCGCTGAGACACTCCCCCAAAACGGTTAAACATTATGCACCGCTGGCCTCCATCAACTGCACACACACCACACACAAACAATACACACGCAACGAAAACAAATGAGAATGTTTTAGATGCCCGCTCGTTAACACCTGCTCATTGGTAACAAATGCACGGACTGGACAAATTTCTGCATGCTTTGAATAAACATTTCTGCTGAGGCATGCCCCAAAATGGAGATAGGCCGTACCCTCGCAGAAATCTCTGCGTAATTCCTCACCGGCAACAAGCCCGCTACAGTGAAGCTGGTAATATATAACATAAAGTACAGAAAAAGGCAGTTTGTTTGGCCGTTTCTGCTCCCTACATCTTTACTCTCGTGTAGTCTTGTACTCACTACAAGCCTCAACCGAAATATTCCGGGTTGTACGGAAGCCACCAAAAGCAAATACGCATACAACTTGTCAAAATATTGCTTATGCAAAATAACTCACTACAGCTGCATTCATCCCTTTGCGAGCAACAAGTTACAATCAAAGCATTTACATTTGCACGTAGTTCACTCTGTTTACGTTCGGCGACTCTCAACGCTTTGCGTCTCGTCGGACGCGTGACAGAATGAGCCAAATCCGCCTGCTGCAGTCGCTTTCGCAGATGGCGGTGCAGCTGTTGATGGTGTTGCATGCAAGAGAATAGTTGCCAATGCTGCTGCTCCCCTTAGCAAAGATGCATCATGAAAGTTTAACGACCCAGCCGCCAGCAACAGCTAAGCGACTTCCGCGGAGCTGACTGGCATATGCAACATTTTGAAGGCGTAAATAGACTTGGCTGATGTCTATACGCCTCAGGCTCGAAGGCCTAACAATGTACCTCGACACGGGAAAAAACCCGCAGCAGCTGGCGTCGAGTGCCTTCTGACTCGGAGGATCGAGCGGCAAATACAGCAGAAGAACGAACAGACCGGAAACGCAGCGTGTGATTTGGCCCTTAAGGTTAAGGATTTGCGCCTTATGGTTGAGGGCTCACAGCTCTCGACTGCTTGGCTTACCGTCGTACAGACACGATTTCGCCACAACTCCCGAAAACCCAATGGCAACGCCTAGGCGGCCAATGTTGGTGAGGAGCCGTTCGCTCATTTTTGACCCTCTCGCTGCAGTTTATCTCAGAAGTTCCATTTAAAGGAGAAAATGTCGCAAAACATAAAAGTACGAACTATACAATATGTTGCAGACGCCGTGGGGTAGCCGCCGCATGCAATGCAAGTCGAGCTCTGGCGGAAGAAAACATCGTTAACCGCGTAGAAGACCTAATTATTAACAAAACAATGGATATGTGAAGTTGTTTAATGTACTTGACTCTTCTTTGTCCATGTTTTTTCTACCTAGTCAAGTGCGCTCCAAGCACTTTTCTGACGGTTGACGTAGCAGCGCAGGGTATGCATATTAGCTACTCCTTTTCTTCTCACCTTCCAAACGCATCATGCTGGCATCTTGTTGAATGAACTGAAGGCTTACGTTTTGCCTGCTTTGCAACACTAACTAAGCGAGCCGCCGGCTGCACGTGCTGGCTCGTGACGGCCAAGTTTATGTTGAACACATATGTGGAATGTGTTGAGCACATGTCTGCAGCGTTTGTGCATGCATCAAATGGAGGCTTAGCGATGCTTGCATGTTGAGTTGCATAGCAGCAGAAGTTGTAGGAAGCTATGACGATACTTGTGGCTTGCCGGCCCACCACCGCACCGTCCCTAGGTTCTTTCTCGGCTATGTCCAGGATGTCTAGAGAGTAGAGCGGAGGTCAGCTGCTTTTGGAAGGAAACGCATATGAAGTACTTTGGCTTTATTGCATCTCAGAATGCTCCTCGGCTAAGATCCAGGACCCTGGTTGTAGTGGGTAGCACAACGCGAGGGACAGGCAAGCACTGCGGACCTGTAGGATGCTCTGTCCACAGTTGGTAAATTTCCCCACATGCAATCAGACTACCTACTAAAGGCGAAGGAACTATCCAACAATTGTCTATGGTGTTAGTGCATGCAGGAAAGAATGCACGGTTGTGCTCGCAGATGCGGTTGCCTGGCAGCACACGTAGAGGCAACGTGCGTTGCAACTCTCCTCAGGCCGCCTCCTCTCGCACCAACATCAAATCTCTGTACCGCCCTGCCCAGGCAACCTTGAGACTGGCTGTGTGATCAGCTTCTCTTTAAGAACCCTTATCCTGGCTACTTTGACTCTACTGCCACTCTCGGCGCTCCTCCGTTAAGATTGAGGTCTTGCTGCCATTGGTAGCTCCGCATCGGAATTTCTGCGAGCAACGGAAGCAACATCCCAAAGAGTGGCAGCCTAGAGAATAGTCGTTATTAGTAGCGAACGTGTTTTGAACAATACACGAGACCAAACCAACAGAAAAGGCTGTGTTGGAGATTTTGGTACCCTACCAAAATCTTCGTCAGCACAGCCCTTCTGTCCTTCCATGTAATGGAAATTGGTCAAGAGCTGTCGTCCGGTGGGTAGGAGACCAACTGCTCGGCGCCTCGGGGAACTAGAGCCCCATGAGTATCTTCTTCTTGCCCTTTTCCTACGGAGAACGCCCTTACAGCTAGAATAGTTCATGAAGACTCGTTTCTCCTTGGCACACCGCTCACAAATGAGGGGTGGCGCGGTGCAGGACAGCGAGGGAATTCCTTGTGATTATCTCTGTTTATCTCCACAAATTCACCTGGGGCGCTACAGTACTGACACCCTCTTCGTTTTTTGGGAAGTCGATGATGGTGGTAATATCTCGGCTAGGGTACCACTTTGCCGGATCACATCCAGACTTTCGAAGCATTCCAAGACGTGTCGACACGGATGTTTATTCCCAAGTCTACAAAGGAACAAGCTATGATACAATTAAGGAAACGTAAGGGAAGCTATCAATGGAACGTCAGCGGCGGCAACACTTCCTGCTGCAGAGCAACGTAGCGCGGCGGGAGAGCCCCAACCAATGGAAGCAGCAGGCGCTACAGCAGCAGTGGCTGTGAGGTCAGCAGCAGAGGCATGTGCCCCTTGTTTATCTGGACCTGGCAGTTCATTTCCTTCTCGGCATGCATCATTCGAGGAGGCAGATGTTCAAGAATATGTGAAGCCTCATGGCCACAAACCGCTGCCATGCGGCTTCAAATACTTTTGCTACAATACAAAGGAGCAGAAAACGCAGAGGTGAGAAAGGTAAATAATAATGAATAAGCAATAAGTCACAATGGGAGGTGCGTGATGGTAACCGGCAGGCGGACGGCACAATGCATGGCGTATTGGCGCCAAGTAAAAGTTGCTGACTGCTCTGTCGTTAGATGGCAGCTGTACTACAGGCGAGGTGGGGATGCTAAATCAGGAAAGAGGCAAACAAGAGCAGTAGACAGCTGCACTGAGCAGGAAGCCATCACTCCATAGGACATGTTTTGATTGACAACTACCGAAAATTCTTCTTCACTCTTTTCCCTCTTTCCGCATTCGCTGACGCTTACTGCATTGCGTACACTCCAAATTAATGCATTGAGCACCACCCACCTGCGACCCCATGCACTTCACACAAAGAAATATTGTTATGCACCCGGGTACCTCCTCCCAGCACAACCAGCGGGTTGCAGTTGTCTCAGCTCCCTACGGTGAGGTTTCAGTGGCATAAAGGGCAGTGGATTGGAGCGGGTGCTGTATTGACAGCTGATTCAGTTGGAGAGGTCTTTTCAGTTCGAAAACTATTCATGGAGAACGCCTTCGATTTTTGCCCACCTTTCAAAAATGACGGGAACCAGATGCGGGGGCGCTAGAAGACCTCGTTGCTTCTCTAGAGTTGTACTACCCTCTGAAGAATGTCCTGAGCGGCTACAGTTGCTGTTGGCGCCCTGTGTAAAAGTAAGGGGGGGGTCACGACAATGGTGACTGTACTAAAGCAAGGGCGCCACGAAGCGCACCTGGTGTATAGAAGAATTTCGACGTGCGCTGAGACATAGATTCGTCCCCAATTCACCGGAGAAACAGGCATTGGAAAAACTACAAAAAATATTCCAAGCAAAGTTATCGATAGAACGAAACATCGAGAGGCGTGAGTTCTTGGAGTATACAGGGTCGAAAGTTGACTTGGAGCTTCCCTTCCAGTGGTTCCTTGCAGGGAGCTCCCTGGAGAGGGATCATCGGGAACTAGATGGGTCGCGAGAGGGGATTTAGGTGGTGGAAGTGTGGAACACTTCAAGGGGAGTCCACACCCATCAAAGGGGAAAATGCCACTTCCACACCGTTAGCTAAGAAGGAAGCAAATGGCGTTGTCAAAGACCCATATACTGGAAGCATGAATAGGGAGACTGTGAATGAACCCCCGCCTCCTGTAGGAAAAGCCAACAGCAGACGGCAGCTAGCGAACCGGACACTCAGAAAACGGTGGAAACCTACCGAGCGGGGCATTTGCTTGTGTCTCGGTACATGTAATCACATAAGCTGAGAGTGCAGGAACACGGAGTGGGCTAGGGAACTGGTACCCAAGATAGCCATCCAGGAAAGGCTTCCATTCCTAGATGGCTCTCTAGCCAACACAACGTGTTGAGCAGCGATGGGGCCGAAAGACGTGACAGCGACGCCTGCAGACCCTTCTCAAGTTACCTTTGTGATTTTCCAAGTTCGTACAGGAGTTCGTAGTGTTACTTGTCCCAAACTGCGAAATCAACTTAGTATATGAAGCTACGGCTTGGAGGTACGACCTACCTGTCTATTTG